CAGTGTTTGACAAACTCATTTATTTCACGGTTCATAGCTGGCCAAACGAATCGCTCGGAGATTAACTTCCTGCTGCCTCGTGCTCCTGGGTGAGAAATTCCGTGTAGGCATTCCATGATGGTTCTCCGTTGAGTACTTGGAACGAAAGGTCGTGGTTTTCCGGTCAAGACGTCACAGTAGATCGGTTGAGAACAACCACTCATCCGTTTTGCTTCAAATTTCAGCGAAGTAGATTTGGATTGCATCAACTGCTGAAGCTCCACGTCGTTTTTCTGCTTTCGTCCGATTTCTTCATAGTCCACCGAAGTAGGCGCTAGTATACTCTCCACACGAGACAATGCATCGGCAACGTAATTTTCACTTCCACTGACATGTTGTATATCCGTAGTAAATTCCGAGATGAAACGTAGGTATCGTTCTTCATGCGGTAGCCGAGAGCTGGAATCGGTTGTTAGCGCGTATGTTAGTGGGCGATGGTCAGTGAAGATCGTGAAGTTGCGTCCTTCAAGGAAGTGCCGAAAATATTTCACAGACATTTTCACCGCAGTCAGTTCACGGCCAAAAGTAGAGTATTTCGTTTGGGACATCGAAAATTTTTCGGAATAAAATCCGAGTGGTTCCCAATTCTGACCATTTAGCTGCTGCAAGACAGCCCCCGCAGCAATATTTGAGGCATCGAACATCAGAGCTAATGGTTTCGACGAGCCAGGATAGTGAAGCAGTGCTGTCTCCGCTAATGATTTTTTACAACGTTCGAAGCTTGATGAAGCTGCATCTGTCCACTGTAGTTTACGTATGTCGTTTTTCCTGTTCCCGGGAATAAGCTTCTGCAACTCAGCTTGGATGTCGGATGCATGACGAACGAAGCGTTTGTAGCCGTTGGCGATTGCCAGAAAGCGACGGAGTTCCTTGACTGTTGTCGGTTTCTCGTAGTCCATAATGGCTTGGACGCGTGACGGGAGCGGCCGCACTCCATCACTGCTGATCAGGTATCCTAAAAATTCCACTTCCTTTTGGGCAAACACGCTCTTACCCAAATTTAGAACGAGTCCGTGCTGGCGTAGGCGGTCAAACACTATGCGTAGATGCTCCTGGTGTTGAGCAAGGGATTCAGAAGCGATGCATATGTCATCTATAAAGACAACAACGAAATCAAGATCACCAAAGATTCGGTTCATGTAGCGCTGGAACGTCTGACTTGCGTTACATAACCCAAATTGCATGCGGGTGAACTCAAACAAGCCAAACGATGTGATGACCGCCGTTTTGGGAATGTCTGCTTCCTCCACCGCAACCTGATGATACGCTCGCTCCAGATCAAGAGTTGTGAAAACGGACTTACCATGAAGCGAATGCAGCAAATCGTGGATGTGCGGTACCGGATAACGGTCAGGTGTACAGGGTGCGTGACGAATTTTTGCAGTAAATTTCAAATAGTAATTTCTTATGCTTGTGGATCATGATTTAGATATATTTGGCAGCACTGGATAGCTTACACTGTTGGGTGTAAGATGTAAACAAACAGTGTTGAGTAAACGTAAAGATGTCGAAACAAGAGAGCAATCGGTCAGCCGTTGTCGCTTTGTTGCGCGCCGGAGTAAGCGGAAATAATTCGGTCGGTAAATGTGTCTGAAAGAACAGTGTACAGGGTGCGTGACGAATTTTTGCAGTAAATGACATATTTGAGAAAAAATACACTAGTTAGTTATTCTTGTAATGAATGTTATGTGATTTATTTTCTTTCGCAACATATGGAAGTTGTAACTAATTTTATTCAAAAAAATCACTTACCCTTTCGACGACTGTAGTTAGACGTTTTACAATGTTTCGATCCATATATGTCATCACTGCCTTGATTTTAGCTTTTAGCGGCTTAAGTGTGGTGTGAGGGGTTCTATTAGTATCTCGTTCGACAAAGCCCAATACAAAATAATTCAACGGATTGATATCGGGACTGCTTGGGGGCAAAATTTCTTTTTCCCAAAATTCCGAAGTATTTTCCGCATGCCATTTCTGTGTTTTATTAGCAGTATGAGCAGGAGCTCCGTGTTATCACTTTCCCAAGCCTTTTTTTATATTATACACTGTTCTTTCAGACACATTTACCGACCGAATTATTTCCGCTTACTCCGGCGCGCAACAAAGCGACAACGGCTGACAGATTGCTCTCTTGTTTCGACATCTTTACGTTTACTCAACACTGTTTGTTTACATCTTACACCCAACAGTGTAAGCTATCCAGTGCTGCCAAATATACCTAAATCATGATCGACAAGCATAAGAAATTTCTATTTGAAATTTACTGCAAAAATTCGTCACGCACCCTGTAGTGATATGATTTAAGCGACGGTAGTCACCAACGAAACGCCATTTCCCGTTCTTTTTCAGCACACAATGCAAAGGACTTGCCCAACTGCTACTCGATGGTCTGCATATTCCTAGGTCACACATAAGGCGAAACTCTTCCTTAGCAGCTTTAACTTTGTCCGGATGCATTCGTCGAACTTTAGACGCCACGGGTGGTCCACGAGTAACTATGTGATGGGTTACGTCACACTGCGTGACAGAACGAAGCGTCGATGGCAGAGTTATTTCCCGGTACTCCATTAACAAATCGTGGAACGGATGATCGGCACCAACAAGTGTTACACTGTGCAGAGCAGCAGTCATCATACCTCCAGAAGACTTCAATCCTGTCTGGCCATCTATCAGTTTTTGGTTTTTCAAATCGACGGGTATGCCGAAGTGCGCCAAAAAATCAGCACCGATTATTGGCATCGTCACTTCAGCAACGAGGAAATTCCAGGTGAATCTTCGTCTCAATCCTAGGTCAACAGGAATAAATTTCGTTCCAAATGTCCGAATTCTACTTCCGTTGGCTGCGTGGAGCTGTTGTATAACGGTACCGTTCAATCGATCTCTCCTGGAGGCAGGCAATATTGTGACGTCCGATCCAGTGTCGATTAGAAAGCGTGTATTGTTCGTCCTGTCAAAAATTACCATTCGGCGACTTTCCGACACTCCGGCCACCACTGCCGATGATGGTGGGGAGGATGCTAGTTTTTTGAGCTCCATGAACACGGTTCTCGGCACCGCTGAGCATCGTTTCCATATTTCCTATGGTACCAGCACAGTCCGGATCGTGATGACGAACGAGAACCACTTCGGTTTCGCGAAAACGAACGGCCTCGCTCAGGGTTGGGAGCCTTCAGGCGTCGGATTTCCGCTGTGAGAAGTTCGATCTGCTCTGCTAGCTTCCTTTCACCACTGTTGCTGTACGTTGGTTCGTTGTGCACCATGGCAACTGCGGAGGACTGACCGTTGGAGGCGTCGGTGATCTTGTCTGCCATTTCAGCCAACTTCTCGATGGTACCATCGTGGCATGTGAGAATTGGTCGAATGTTTGCCGGGAGGCGTTGAATGAAAATCATTTTGAGCAGATTGTTATCCACGCCCAAACCCGTCGACAACTCTCTCATCTTTGCTAACAGATGCGTTGGGCGCATATCGCCAAGATCGTGGGCCCCCAGCAGCTGTTCGAAGCGGCTTTCAGCAGACAGGGCGAAGCGAGCAATTAGGCGATCTTTCACTGTTTTGTATTTATTTTCCGCTGGAGGAGCAGCTACCAAATCGGCTATGTGACATATAACCGATTGATCCACTTTGGCCACGATGTGGTAAAACTTGGTTTCATCATTGACGATTTTCGCAAAGTGGAATTGCGCTTCCGATTGCGCAAACCACATAGCCGGATCAGTTTTCCAAAAATCCGGTAGTTTTACCGCGACAGATGCTGCTGCGTTGCTCCCGTTATCGTCCGGCATTTTGAGGTTAGTTTCAGCTTTGAGATCGAATATCGGCGAATAACCGTGAAATCGGACCGAAACTTTTAGATTCGCGACGTCGCGGGTCACCAATGTAGTGATCGGACACGGAATAAAGAACGATTAGTTACGAAATACTTAAAATCTTTATTTTTACTTTCAATAGAAAAACAACCACGTTCGCGCGTTGATAGCTGCGTAGCAAAGATTGACAGCTTGAGTTCTTTTTCTTCGACGACGACCCGATGGAAGCCAGGCTGACCAGTGTTGCCGGGCGATGCCACAGGCGTTTCAATGCGTTAGGACGGAATTGAAACTCGTAGGATAAATTTAGAATCAAGAAGCAGTGTTAGATTTTTAATAATAACTCAAAATTGTTGGACTCTTTATATAATCCAACGGTACGTATGGAAAGGTGAATAAATTTAGAAGTTATCTTTGATAAAAACATTCCATGTTTTGTTCAAACCCTTTAAAAAAGAGAGAGGTCAAGTGCGGGATGTGGTTAGTAGGACGGAAATTAGATCAAAAACCCTACCGAGACTAAACGAATGTCAAAAGTCGAGTTTCGAAAAAAAAATAGGCAAGACCTGGAATATTATCCAACTAAATTAAGATCTTGCACAACAATAAATTTTCCAATTCCAAAACATAACAGGCACACTAAACCATATTCTTACCAGTACAACAACCCTCATGCAACCTAGCACAGAACAGAAGGGGAAGTGCAAACAAATCGATGAATCAAAAAGCGGTTCGTTTTGCTGCTCATCAAGCAATGTGTTGTGGTAGCGTTCCACACGGGCTTTCTATGTGCACTTACACTATCATAGGATGCTGCCTATCTTAACGTGCAGGCAGAAGATGCCTTCTACCACTAGGAGCGCTAGTGTTCGCAAATGACAAGTGGAGCCACTTTCTGATCCGAAGTTCCACTCGTGTGAACCTAGTCACCATTTTCACCCGACTTGCAAGACACACGAAGATACTCTTCTTCCAGCAGCCCAGCTACCAGCGGCGAGTGGATTTACCTGTTCGTATGAATACAGTTTTTCTTCTGATCAACTCGTGTATGACATTTTCTTTTTGCTCCATTTTTAGAAAACCACTTACTCATACTATTATTATCACGTTACATTGTTTTAATTGTTCTTCTGCATATATTCGCTCATAGTATGAGGATTCAGATTTTCATTAAATTCGAACTAGATATATAATAGGTATATGTCAATGGGTTAAAATACAAAGGTTCACTCCTCGATCGGGGTGAAAATAGGAAATCAATAAAAAAAAAGATAACATGGAATTAACAAGCAGATATGTACGGCTCTAACTAAGAAGACAATGGGAATTCCATAACCTAATCAAGAGATGATCGTCATAGAGGACATTTGGTTGATTAGCCGTCCGCTCGCAAACGGTCATTAATGAAGACGTGCGAGTCCGAAATGAATTTACCGTTGTGGACAATGAACACGCTCATCAGATCATTGTACTTCAGATTCGGTAAAAGCTGTTTGGAGAGAAACAAAAGAAATTTAATTGCTGCTGCCATCGTCAAGCGCCCGTCATATCCAACCTACCTTCGGTGTCACGAAAAAGTACTGCGACTGACCGGGACGACAGGTTTCATCAACCAGCATCTCGAACACCTTACGTTCGTTGCGCGGATCCATACCTTGGTTGATTTCGTCCACGCAACGGAACGGTACATGCGAGATGTGCTGCAGCGACAAGGTATAGGTGGCGATGGCCACTGCGCGTTCCCCACCCGATTGCACGTGTCGATCTAGGGCCTGCAGTTTTTCCGTATTGCGATACTTGACACGAATCTGAATACCGTACTCGTCGTAGTCACGCTACGATGCAATGTGGATACAAAATAAAGGTATTAGATAAAAACAGCCAACGAAATGCAAACAACAATTTTACTCACTTCACCATTTTTGATGATCTCTACCTCCCCAGCGAATCCCATACTGCTCATGAAGCGAGAAAAGTTACCATTGATGATGTCTACCACCCGACTGATCTCTGGATACCACTCGTCATGAAGCTGCTGCAGTTCCATCTCCAGTGCATCGGTGTTTTTCGTTGAGTCACCAATAGCCTCTCGCAGCGTCTCGATCTGACGACATCTCGCCTCATACTCCTGCAAAATGTTTCCATTATCGCCGGACATACAATCGATGCGGGCCTGAATTTCCTCCATGTGATTGACCAGATCGTCCAAAATTCCGGGCAACTTCTGGAACTCCCGCTTGTAGGGGAATTTGTCATTCGTCGGTGTAATGTTATTAGTTAGACTCTTCGCAAAGGTCTGCTTTCGTTTCAAACGATCCTTGATGTCCTCGAACTTACGCATAACGGATTCATGGCTTCGCTTTGCCGAATCCAATGCATCCTCGGCCGACCGGATCTCCCCCTCCAGATCAGCATTCTTGGTCAAGAAAATCGACAACTTTTGCTTGTACGCTTCGTATTTAACCGTAGCCGCTACATACAAACCAAGCACTTCTGCTTTCTTATGCTGCATCTTCAGCAGATCCTCGATGGTTTTTGCACAAAACTCCTTGAACTTAGCCTTCTCCGCACTAACATCCACCAGCCGGTTCTGCAAGTCATGACATTTCTGTTCCTGTCGTTTGGTTTTATGCTTGCTATTCTGATAACGCGTGAACTTGTCCTCCACCTCTCTGCGCTGCGTGGTGAGTTCCGTACATTCCTCCTGGACCGAGGTGATCTGGCTTTCGATCTGATTGCGATGATTGCGAATCTTGTCACATTCTTTAACCAATCTCTGGAGGGCACGCTTGCGTTCCTCCAGCAGTTCCGGATCGACGTTTTTGTTCAGCAGATTGTGCGAGTGGATTTCATCGCAACGGGAACTCTTCTCGCCGGTATAGCGCGACTTGCTGATCGAGAATCGTTGCGTCGGGGTAAAGAATAGGCTTATTTCGTCCGGCATTTGCGAGGCGTACTTGGCGGAATCGTTTTCGCCTATGGGTACGTTGTGCAGCCGGTATGATTTGCAGAGGAAGTTAAGGATGGGGAAGGGTGCTTCCACCATGTCGATTAGGTAAGAGCGGAAACCGTAGCGCCTGAAATGAAATAATGACAAATCACAAAATTAGATAGGTAGAATTTAAAGTTACGTTTTTTTTAAATGTTTTATCATTGCACGATCATTGAATGCATGATTGCATTGTTGAAGACAATTGAAAGGTTCCATGAGTTTTATAGGGTTAAAATAACTTTCGTTTTGTTCAATATAGCTTTTTGCTAAGCAAAAACACGAATCTTAAACATTCTCATTATGGCTAATATTCGAAACGAATAATCATTCTCGTTTTGAATCAGGTTCAACCATTCCCAAAAGTATTTTGAGCAATGCTCAACATAATTGTAAAAATTAAAAAAAAAATGCTACACTCACTCCAAGTTTTGAATCGGAACTTTCGACCGGTACAGCAGTTGATCGGCCGGTTCGGAATGCACCACATTCACCCCTTCCAGCTTCATTTCTTGACGAACCTTCTGCAGGAAAAGCTTCATGTCGTCCTTATCCTCGCAGGTGAATGCAATCAGATCCCGCTTGGCGATGGTATTCTCCAGGTACTTAGCATTGTCACTGTTGGAAACGTTCAGTTCCAAGATCATCGGTTCATAGATCTTTGCCCGGAATAGATGCTGATTGTCCCGCAGCCAAAGTGTCGCTTGGTAGGCGCTTTCAAACTGCGATTGCAACAACCGCAGCTTCACCTGTGCAACATTTTCCAGCGCTTCGATTCGACGTTGAACGCTCACCATCTCCGGTTTCAGGTCGCTTTCGATCTTCTGATTCAACTCGTTCCGCCTGCCCATTAGTAGGTCGCATTCCTGCTTAACCTTGTTGATTTTGACAGTCAGGTCTTGCTTTTTCTGGTTCTGTACCGCTTCGGGCCCGAGTTCCTGGAAGGCATTCCTGCAATCTTCAACCATTATCGTAAGAGTCCGCTTGGCTTGCTCGAGCTGCGCCTCCCGATCGGCGGCCTGCGAGATGGCATCCTGAAGATCACGCTTCTGCTTGTTGATGGAATCCTCCAAATCTTCGGTTTTAGTTTCCAGCTGGCGAAGCTGGCCGGTCTGCTTTTGGATATCCGCCTGTTCGGTTTTGATTTTCTCGTTCAGTTCGTTTTTGCTCTTGTTCAGCTTGACTGCCTTGGATTTGAGCGGATCTACACGCTTCTGCTTTTCGTCCATGTTCCTGAAAATCATTAAAAATAAATAAATATACAAGCAAAGCAAATAAAATTAAAGAAAACTCACGTTTTCGCCAACTGTAAATCATCCTTCGTGGAATTGAAATCTAGATAAATCTGCTCGTACTCCAGCCACGCCTTCCGAGCGTTGCAGATCTCAACCTCCTTCTCGTACTGCTTCCGGATCTTCATGTTCTCGATTTGAACGCGTAATTCTTCGTTTTTCGCCTCCGCTTCCTTCAGTTTGGTCAAATTGTCCGAACTCGACTTGGTCACCGCCTTCTGCTGTCTTCGCTTTTCCATAAGCTGATCCATTAGTCCCATCATCTCCGGACGGCAAACCGAAGCCTGCGTGTTCAGTAACAGTTCCCTGGAATTCATCTTGGTAAAATCCTGCACCCGGTCCTGTGGCAGGAACTGACACAGATTATCAATCTGAATGTTCAGATCTTTGATCCGTTTGAGGTATTCCTTGTGGGTCACTTTGGTACCATCGATTTCGTATCGATCCATCCCGTTCCGGTTGAACGTCCGATTGAACATGATAGTGTCTCGTTTGGAGTTCTTGTAGAGACCCACCTCAATTTTCGCCATTTCCTTTCCATTCTTGATATAATCCTCAATCTGTTGGAATGGGAAAGGAAATTACAAGATAGAAAATACCAACCCGTAGAGCAGCAGCACTTACACTTCCGGATCGCGAAAGCAGTTTACAGTGACCGCCCATTCCTAGTACAACTGCTGCCACGATCGTGGATTTGCCCGTTCCGTTGGGACCGATAATGATGTTCAAGTGTTCATCCGGATAGAAGATTGCAACGTCGTATGTTCTGGGGGGAAATATCGATTAATAAAGATCATTATTTGCTAACTAAGGCCGGTACTTACACAAAGTCCTTGACCGCAACGGTTCTTATTTTACCCTTCACGGAATCCGTCATTGTGTGCGTAAAAAGCAATCCGCCGTTTTAACCAAAAAAAAAACAAACTGCCGTTTGAACACGAAAATAAAATTTGCTGGATTAAAATTGCACCGTACAGCGCCACTGCCAACTAGTAAACTATTTAGAGGACGGGGGGTTTGAAGTTATTACAGCTCTATTTGTTTGTTAAATAATAAGCTGAACGTTTGAGATAGTGCAAACGCGAAACTGATAAAAAGCGCTTGCAAAATGCATTGTTGACAAACTAGATAGGACGCCGTCAGACTTCACGTTCATTCTCGTTTTTATCGTTTCGGCGCGCGAGTTGATATAACGTCCTGCAGGAAAGAGACTAAACGATCAATGGTTCATGTCGATGGAAGGTTAGTGTGAAGTTGGATGTGAAGCACACATTGTTGTTGTATCTAGCGAAAAGTAGGTGGTAGCACGTGTGCATGTATGAACACTGAAAAGGAAATTACCTCAGAGAGAGAGCCACGTTTACTCATTCGTGTTTACTAGAAACGAAATTCACTCAGACAGTGTGAGTAACTGTTACTCATTCGTGTAGCGATTAGTGACGTTTAATTAACGTACGCACACTAGCGGGTTGCATCACCGTGTAAAGTTGTGTATTATTTTCCTCTGGCTAACCTAAAAATGTATGAATTTAGATCAATCAAAAAAGCGGCGCCGGTGGTGTAGTGATAAGCGTGATTACCTCTCACCAAAGACATCATATCAAGAAGACTGGCAACTCTTCCAGTGTTGCCATGTGGTACAATCCAGTAGTAGTGGTGTTGCCATGTGGTACACTGAAAAATTGCAATAGCAGGTGCGTCGCCAAAGTTTTCGAGCTGCTCCGTCTGTCACTTCGTTTGTGCTACTACCATAGAGGTAACTCTAAGACTAGAAGGTTCTGAAATAACGTGCTCAACTTTTTGGCTCAGCTCTGGTACTCTCTTCGGTCCCAAGCTAATCGATTCACCCCTCGAAACACAGGAAAAACCAATAACCCCTTATTTTACCTGTCAAACTTTCATAACGAATCAAAACAAACATTGTGTAGTACTAGAATTTCGACTAGAATGGGGTACGTTAATCGTTTGCTTGGGACCAATAGGCTAGTCAAGTAGTGAGCCAATTTAAAATCGTTAGTTTCGTATTGATTGTTGCTACTACTGGATTGAACTAGCATTTTCAACAAATGTACTAGAATGTTTTGGTTCTATCTCTGGTACTCAAAACAGAAATGCATAAAAAAATGACAAAATGATACACTCTTTGCACACTGTCAAAGAATCTTGTACACAAAATCAACTTTGTGCAAAACCAAAACAAAAATACTATCCCATCTGGTGGATGATGGCACAAGCTTCTAAGAAAATTCTATTACAGCGAACCACATTACTTTAATTGATTTCTTCGCCAGTTAGTGGTCTGTCACTTCGTTTGTGATATTACCATAGAGGTAACTCTAAGACCAGAAGGTCCCGAAGAAACGAGCTCAACTTTTTGGCTCAGCTCTGGTACTATCTTCGGTCCCAAGCTAATCGATTCACCCCTCGAAACATAAGAAAAACCAATAACCCCTCATTTTATATGTCAAACTTTCATATCGAATCAAAACAAACATTGCGTAGTACTAGAATTTTGACTAGAATGGGATACGTTAATCGTTTGCTTGGGACCAATAGGCTAGTCAAGTAGTGAGCCAATTTAAAATCGTTGGTTTCGTATTGATTGTTGATATTACTGAAGAACTTTTTCCAACACAAGTGAGAACAATTTTACTCACTCACTAAGTAAATCTGTCAAAATGAGTTTGAAAGCGATTGTTTATTTATTTTCCTCGGATTTTCACGAACACGCTCTCACATATCGCACCAATACCGGACGTGAAAATCTCTATAAGGGGCTGTCCATAAACTACGTAGACAGTTTAGGGGGGGGGGGGGGGTTGAAAATTATCCACGGTCCATACAAATTTTAAAATTTTTGTATGGGCGATTGTCTACGCAGGGGGAGAGGGGGGGGTCAATAATCCCAAAAAACTGTCTACGTAGTTTATGAACAGGCACTAAGGATTTTTCACATCGCAAATCAAAGCATTTTTCATTGAACATATTGTCAATTTCCATCGGTAATAGTCTAATTTTACGTTTTTCCACAGACCTGAACTGATTTATAGCTCATCTATAGACTTCTCTGACGTTTATGAATTGCACAAGTATTAGTGCAGAACTTTGGGTCAATTCAAATGTTTTCTTGCACTAATACCACAAACGAAGTGACAGACGGAGCGGCTCGAAAACTTTGGTGACTAACCTGCTATTGCAATTTTTCAGTGTACCACATGGCAACACCACTACTACTGGATTGAACCACATGGCAACACTACTACTGGATTGAACTAGCATTTTCACCAAATGTACTAGAATGTTTTGGTTCTATCTCTTTCACTCTATTCAAAACTGAAATGCATAAAAAAAATTAGAAAATGATACGCACTCTTTGCACACTGTCAAAGAATCATTGTACACAAAATCAACTTTGTTCAAATCAAAACAAAAAAACTAACCCATCTGGTGGATGATGGCATAAGCTTCCAAGAAAATTCTATTACAGTGAACCACATTATTTAAATGGATTTCTTCGCCAGTTAGTCGTCTGTCACTTCGTTTGTGCTAATACTTATAACACCGACAAACCGACATGACACTTAATTCTGACTTATGCCCGAAAATCGTAAGGGCCGATTTAAATGTGCAGTGATTCGAACTGTCAAGACCGTAGGATTTTTTTTATCTAGATAAAAATAAATTTTTCCAGAATAGATCAGACACGAACCAATTCATAACTTTTGCATGCGGGTTCATGGCTTAGCTAAATATTTCCCGCGAACACCGAGCCAGATGTCAGTAGTGTGCTTTGGTCAGAAATTTGATTGTTTTTGCTATGGACATCCATATCGGTTTGTCGGTGCTTATAATTTACCGAGGGGAACGACTATATCTACGATGCAGAAAAGATTGTGTTTTGCTGTGGCTAGCTGCGCGCACGCTGAGTAGATAGAAAGAAGATTGATGATAGATTCTGAAGATTTCCTGCAAAAAGATGATGCGCAATGCAAGTAGATGCGACAAATGAAAGAAACATTTTCTAAGATTGATTCGCTAGTGTGAGATTTGTTGAGCATCTAAACTTAAGATTTAGATGTGTCACCCCCCCTCGTAATTTACCCCAAGTTCTGCACTAAACTTGTGCAATTCACAAACGTCTATAGACTTCTCTGACGTTTGTGAAATGCACAAGTACTAGTGCAGTACTTTGGGTAAATTATAAGTATTAGTGCAAGAAAACCTTTGAACTAACCCAAAGTTCTGCACTAATACTTGTGCAATTCAGAAACGTCAGATAAATCTATAGGCTCTTTTGATGCAATGAGCTGGATTGCCGAGGTGAAGCAATCGGTTGAGTTGTGTGAGTGAAACCCATGTAAGATACAAGCAATTAGTGCCGTCACTAATTGAGTTTACGTTGATTTTTTGGTTTGCTAATACAACCATATTTCACGATCTGCTTCACCTCTCTCTGTACCTCATTGCTTTTGATGCACCATCAATGCAATCTGGTCTATAAAAGGCAGAGTTACATTTTCCTCGTGTGTGCAAAAATGTGCTGCCGAGACTCGCAACAAACCGTCTCCCGTCGCAACGAAAACAACATGTGACGAGCGATAAAGAGACACGCGAGAATAAGATACGAGCGAGATACAAATGCGACACCCAAAATTCCTGGCGTGCGCGAGGCTCGCGCTGATCTCATGTGCCTCATCTCTTGTGCTACGATTAATGCTAGAACTGCAGAGCTCGAAGTTCTGGAAGGTGTAGGTAAGCGAAATACAGGCTGTTGAAACTTGGTTGCTTTGACCGACATTTCATTTGCGTTTGCACAAACCATTCCTATTTTAGAGGAAAGGTAGCATATATTTGCAGTGCTTAAATTCTTGAAATTCTCTAATAGCAAAAGCCATTAATTTGCCGGTCAATTAGAATATTCTTTGTTTATTTTTCCGGTTCAACAACAACAACACTGCACCTGCATGACTAACATCTTTTGACACGTTATTTTCAAAATATAGAATGGACAAAAATTCTACAAAAAGTGTATCGGTATTGTTTAGTACGGGGATTTGACCGTTGCAAGACGTTTACACATTGTCAACGTAATTTAACCATTCATCGGCAACACAACTGGTATGCATTGTTAGAAGAGATGTTACGTATTTTGAATAGATTATATCGGAATGCTACGAATGCAGCAATGTTATGATAATTCAATGGCTGGAATAATTTTTTGCAGAACATTTTTTTCTTGGCGTATTACCAATACGCTTTCACTTGTACTTTGTTACCATTACATTAAAAATGTTCAGATTTTTTTTAATGTGCCTCATGTGATCTAGCATTCAGATGAATTCTATAACAGAAGCGGTGACCCACTGGGTGATGGCGCTATCTATGCTAAATCTCGGTGAACATTTGAAATGATCCTATCTGCTTTGATCGATTCTCTTCATCGACTTTCTCTTTTGATAACCACGCCTACGCAAATGCATTTGGTGCTAATTTTGCCACACAGTTTGATAGCAGCAGTTCATATCTTGTGCTTAGAACGTTGAACACAGCAGGGAATGCTTTTGAAGTTGAATTATTAATGGAATAGAAAGTCGATGAAGAGAATCGTTCAATGCAAATAGGACCTTTTGAAATGTTTATCTAGAAATAGCTGCAGCAAAATAATGACATGAGCGGGCATCGTTGGCTTTAACTCAGATGAGCGTGTATTTAGACCAGTGTAGTGATATATTTACCATTCCAATTATTAATATCACCAAGTCTACCGACCTTCTGTTCAGTTCCTTCAAATCGCTTTCTGGTTGACACGGTACGATCTATGTGGCTTCTGCTGACCATTGCTCTGCGGGTTTCGATGGCATCGTTTTCGCGTCGATGTCCGTAATCGCTAAGAAGAAATAACCTTTTCGGTTTGATAATGGGCGAACTTGCCATTGTATACCAACAGTGTCAGAGGGAAGCGCCTGAGTATCGGCACCAATTCCACAAAGTGACCACCAAGCGCCACCATGGCGAGTGTATGGTTTAAATTTGAAAAATACCGTGTTGAAAGTTGATCTATCCATTTGAAAAATTATGATATTCGAAAACTTAAGCACATTCTTCAGT